ATGTATGTCAGTGTGATCTTTAAAGTGAAATCTTAAAGGTCCTATTGGTTCTATTGTCTTCAGTCACATTTTAGAACCCAAAATATATATCCTTATGTTTGAATGGCATCACACACAAAAAACAAAATGATATAATTTTAACAATGAGTATCAGGCAGAAGCTTATCTAGAAAATCAGGAGGCTTTTTTTTTTTTTTTAATTTAATGACTTCATATTTTAACTTTTTCTGACTTTGCTAGGACAGTGAAGACTTTTCAATATGAAAAGTTATGTAAAATGTGAATACTTTTAAAATATGCTAGATCTAAAGTGATAACAGAAAAAAAAATCACTAGTCCCTTGGTTCCTTTAAAATACTACTAGGGTTTTCTCCTTTACATCACTCACAGGGAAGACTGAAGACTTGCAAATTGATAGACTTGAGCAAAAAAGAAAAATGTAATTTCTGAAATATTAAAGGATAACTTGGGATGTGTTGTTAAAAATCACAACAAAATAAAGGCCCCTTTTGTTTGCTTAGATTGGTATCTAACAAACATTCAATCAGAAAACATGAGTGTAACAGGCAGGCTTCATGCTAGCTGGACAATAAGGAATAAAAATTGCCTTCTAAAGAGTAACATCCCCATATAAACCATAGTCTATTGTGATGAGTGTCAGAAGAGAAGTGAACAAAGTAATGAGTTCCCAAGATACCTGAGGAGGAGAGTCTTCAAGAGTAAATATAGTAGTTAAAAGCACATAAAAAAGAAAAAAAAAAATTTCACACAGCAGAAGTATGGAAGAAGAGTAAGGATATGGAGAAAGATGGCAAGAAACAAATTTCCCTTGAAGCCTGATTTCCTGCTCACAGCAGGTTGATGTTCTGTGCCTAGGGTCCTGAACACTTGGGTACTTTTTGTGCACTTTAAAATGTTAGAACGTGGGAAGAAAGGCAGTCATGCTTCCCTTAAAATTGTTATCTGGCTAGAATGTGTCCACATTAAAGTTCCTGAAACTAAATGATACCCAAGATTTCTATCATTTCAATAGAGTAGGAGGGTCCAGATAGACTGGTAATAGCTAATGATTGAATTGATTTAAAAAATTTTTTTTGTATATTGCATGCTAAGCCCTTTGCACAAATCAGGTACTGCCATCCCCATTTTGCAGAGGAGTAAACTGAAGCCAAGTTCAATCTTTGCACAATGTCATCTGACTGAGAAGGATAAAGAGGTAGAGTAGAACCTCCTAATGAAGTATGCTGGGAAGTTTGTGATGAATGCCATAGGGTGAAGTCCTATTTGAGAATCAAAAGTACTGTACAAAGTATGCACGTTGAGAATCTGCTAAACACACTTCAGAATTTTAGTGTTTATCAAAAGAGATCGACCTCAGTGTCTGAGGATAAATGGTAATGTTTTACTTCCCCAGATACTATTTCTTTATATATAGAGTACCAGAACTCCCAGTCCACTTGGAGCTACAAATCAAACCAATTTTTTAGGGTCAATTGATGTATGGACTCCTCCCTAAATGTACTCAATTCAGCATTCAAAATGGAAGCCATTTTTTAGGAAAAAAGAAAGCTATGGCTTTGAGGATTTAGTCTTTTGTATAGCAGTTCAGGAAGATGGAGAAAATTCTCCCAGTATTAACACTTGAAAACAGCAAAAGAGCATTTTGTTCTAGAAGCAAAGATGAAATCAATTAGAAGTCTGAAGCTGGAGAGGGAGTAATGTGGACCATTCTGACCAGTATCTCACAGGGCTGCTGGTCAGTTAGCATGAGGGCAGGTCCAGCACAATCTCTTCTCAGCCTCAGCATTCCATTCTGCCTCACTCATAGCTTGTACAGGTTCCTCACCTAGTGGGATATCAGTCTTCGTAAGGGGCCTCTCAACCTTCCACCTTCAACTGAGATTGTTGGGTATTAGGAGTATTGTAACCTCATTGGATATAATTAGAAGCCTTGGGGGTCCCTGTAGCTACACCCATAAATACGGAACTGATACTTTCTAGCAGGACCAAAGTGACAGTTTTTATAACTGGGCACACAAGTTGAGAATTTTTAAAAAATTAAATGCCTTCCACTGAACACTTTGTAAAAGCTCACTTGTTAGTATGGTTTCAGCTGGCTATCATACTTCCAGGTTAGCTTTCCATGTGCCTGGAACATGTGGACTGCTCACCTTTGCACTCCTGAGTGATTTTACATAGCATCACAGTTTGGTGTAATGAGGTTCATATGATGGTCTCATAGGAAAGGTGTCATATGTCTTAATTTCATTAATTTTTAGTCACATTACCTCAATTCTAAGATGCAGTATTTTTCACACTTCATTTCTGAAATGTATATTCAATTTTTTTCTTTTTTTGCAAAACTAAATAGCATATCTTAACATCAGTGGCATTTTAGAATTGAAATATGCTCTTTTCCACTGGTTTGTTTTCTGTACTTTTCTAATAGTTTATTGTCCTATAAAAACAGGTATATGAAGGATTGTCTTTTGATAATTGGCTGTAACAACTAACTTTTACTGATGATTCAAGAAAGTACAGAAATATGGCAGCATGAGAGATGTTCCCAGATCTCTCCCCTTGAAACAACAATAAGCTGAACACCTAAAACTCAACAACAACAAAAAAAACACCCAAACTACACACCAGCATGTCTGAGCATGGAACCTGAGCATGAGAGCTGCCACAGGTCAGAACCCTGGGTGTTGGGTGGTAGACTGGTAGAAACAAAGACGCAACCTCTCGCAGCCAGAGCTCCCTGTAGGAGGAGGGGGAGGGGAGAAGGTGCAGAGAGGTCCCTGAACAGCCCTGCCTGAGAGTGTGCTGTGAGCTCCAGGCGGCAGAGAAACAGACGGCAGGAAAGCGGGGACGACAGAGAAACAACAGTTGATTTTTATCAGCTGCAGTTGCAAAACTGATATTTCAAACAAATGGTATTCAGAGTAGCAGTACTAATATCGGACGAAATAGACATCAAAATCAAAAAGGTAAGGAAAGATACTGAGGGAATCTTGATGGACACTTGATAAACCATGCACCA